TTCCTGTTACAGAAAGATGAGCAAAGAGATAGAGCTATAAATCACTCTCTCACTCACAGTTCCTCACTCACTGAATGCCTCACTCCAACTAACTCTCTCGCTCTCGTGACCAACATAGATATATACAACTAGATATATACAACAATAGTAACTCTGAATAAAGTAGGCATTTTGATTCAACCTTTCGACTTTATTTAGTCATCATCAGGAATGAAAATACTCAGGCGTTCCTGCAATTATAGTCATATATGCGTTGCAATTACTAGACAGCTAAATTTATTTTAAATATGAAATAGTATTCATTCTAATAGTTCCTAATAACTCTATTTGTACATTTCATCTTATGTACTATACTGAGTGTACAGTTTTGTGAATATTGAATATTAATTATACTATAACTTTGTTTACAGGAGTGTCAAGTTTAAATAAAAAAATGCAAAAGTCAGAAAAAGTATGTAAATATTTTTACATTTCTTTTATAACACTTTCCCCTTGATAAGTAAAATTGTCTTGCATTGAACAGAGAATAATACTCTTGTGTTATTGTGCAACATGAGTCAATGGTTTAACTAGACACATGGGCAGAGAGGCTAGTTAAACCATCAAGTGTCATCACGTTTCCCTCGATTAATAAAATTGTTTGACATTTGACAGTGAAATAATATAGTAGGCTGCATCACATAACAATGCAACTCAATGGGCAAGTTTATTTTTTGAATGAATGATTATCATTTATCTAGGTCTTCAGATGAAAAGTGTCAATGTTGAAGAAAATTAAGGCATGCAATGCATACTATTATGTAAAATAAAAACTTAACATCACCCAATGTCGAATTTATTTAGTAAGTGACAATATGTAAGTTTTTTTTGTCTTCACAGGCAGTGATAATTTTATGTGTTGGTATCTCAAACAATGGAACTTGAAGATTCCATGCAGTTTACTACAAAAGATGATAGTGATAAACTGTCCAAGTTACAGGAAGCATTTGTTGACTTTGACAAAGTAGTACAGGAAATTATGCAGCTACAAGATGATATTATTGCTTTACAAAAGATCTTGCAAGAAAAAATGTGGGACTTTACAGTTCCTGGATGGCGTGAAGCAGGCATAAGTAGCATTGAAAACCTCAGATGCCTGTGAAAGGTCTCGAATACAAAGACAGCAAGATTGGTAGGTTTTATGTGAAAATTATATATAATTTTTATAATATTACACCCATTTGTAAATCCTGAACGTCGATTAGTTATAAGTTGTGTTGACTCAATTTCTACATGGAAAATATCAAAACAGAAGATGTTTTATATTTTTTAAATGTCACCCCTTCGAAATACATTATTTTTACATTATATTCTACTAAATAGACAGTAGATGTTTTGTACTGGTATAGTCAGACTTTGCCCTCTTTTTAATACCTTTTATACATTTGGTAATTGTGTGAACTTTATATTTCATTTGTAATATATATCTTAGAAACACATGATGAGCTGAACAAGACTTGGGAACAATTTCAAGACCGAAATTTGCTACCTAAAATGGATATAGCCCAAAATTTGGTTGGACTGTCAAGTGAGGAAATTAAAGCATCCACAAGTGACAAGTTGCAAGAACTAGCAAGTGGCAATGCACCAGAACCTAACCAGACTCGGCAAGAACCAAGGAGGCATTACATTATAGAAATACCACCAGTTGAAAAAGATTTTCCTGATCTCGTTGGAAAACCAACACGAATTTTTCCTCTGCCCATTTCCCATGAGAATCAGTGCAAGATGTTTGGACTAGCAAGTAACCTTGACTTATTCACGAAAGAATTTGGTTTTCAAAGTAAGACGAATTCCATGCATGTGCCACTGAGAAGCTCTGGAGAGGATTTCGCTCTTGACAGGGCATATGAATGCTTTGCCTTCATGAAAACCTTAGAAAGGCATAAAGAGCACCAATTGGAATATGAAAATATCTTGAGAGGGGAAGCAGCAACCATTTCTGAAGATGATGTGGCTTTAAGCAATGCCAACAATTTGTTGGTAGTTATGGATGAAGAAGAAAGACTCTACCAGTGAAGAAGATTAAGGCCAATATTATACTATGTCCATAACTTTGCTATTTTCTATGACACATAGTAATTAAATAGACCTTTCCAGTAATTACGTCACAATTTCACTGTTTTCAGCTTAGGATCACAGTTTAAATGGAATGTATTCCAGGTTCTTTTTTCTCAGGCTATGTTTTGGCTATGTGCAAAGAAGAAAAACATCCTAATTATATACATATACAGATTTTTTATTTTGAACAGTAAATGTGGAAATAAGCGATAAAACGGAAACGAGGCTCAGGGTGCAAAGACCTTGTTAAAGACCGTGTTAAAGCTTATTTCAACATTTACTGGTCAAAATAAAAAATTATTTCTCATGCATGTGTTGAAGAAAGACATTTTGCTCCTTTAGACATAACTTGTGGGAGTAAAACTTAAAATCCATTTCATCTAAGTTAAAACTATGAAGTTATTATTCAGCCTTTTTAAATTTAGTATGGCCTTTGGTAAATAGATCTTACCATCATTTTCATGTAACATTTTTTCTATATTTTCACGATAATATATATTTTTAAATTTCCTATGTGAATTAACAAATATATATTGACCCCTCCTCCCCTGGAAATACCCCTTAGGAAAATACACAAAGAACTCCCCCCCACGATCTTTATTGCTGTAAGCATGGCGACCTGAGGCTAATGAATATGGAACATCTTAAGTGGTGTCAGTTGTTATGCAAAATAGGGTTGAAGGAGGTCAATGAAATATTAGACAAGCACTTTGAAAGTATTTTTACGACCTTGAGCGATCTAGCGTCAAATTCATAAGCGATCAAACCTTGACTGAACGACTTTCAGCGCTTAGAGACGAGTGGTTTCCTGCTAGAGACCAATATGAAAGATCTGTGATCCATTTGGCATCATTCAACGGCAATACGGGGCTAGTTTGCTGCTTAATATATTCAGGGTGTCCTGTGAACCTAAGAGATGGTATTGGACAAACACTGTTAACTCAGGCTCTTCATATGGGGCACACATTATTGGCAAAGGTTATTGTAGAATGCGGTGCTTCCGTTACAGATGAACTATTTCCAGATACTGTGCCTCTGTTGCAAATAGCCAAAGTTAAGCAAGATAAGATAATGATAAACATTATTGAACAAAAAATATTGGAAGAAGTAGTAATCAGCCATGTTGAATCATTTTACCGAAAAAACTCAAGCGGGTCTGAAATGGATGACAGTGTTGCTGGGTTGAATTTTGCACATGGTCTGAACATCAACGTCAGTGATCAAAAGAACACTGTTCTAATTGAAGGCTGCTCTGGTTGTTGTCCAGACGTGTATGGGTGCCATACACCTGATGGTGGAGATTTCAACTGTCTCGAGTATGTGAACGAGTGCATAGCCCGCACAGGTGGATTTTGGCATGTAGTGGATTTTGGCATGTGGTGGTAAATCCATCTTCCTTCAAATCCAATTTTAAAGAGAATAACTACAATAATAATGAAGAAGCCCTAATGGATTATGATGATGGACTTTCTATCGCCATGATAAAGAATTTTGAAAAATCATCTAGTTTTCCCACAACACCAGAATTGGACAAATGTCTGAAGGAAACCAAGTCCCATAACACGGTCTTACTTGCCAAATTGAAGGAAGAGCAAGATGCAGTTTTTCTGTATCATTCCCAGTGCATCAACCATTTAATGCCCATAACTAGGTGGTATAAGGAATCAGTCAGGTATGATCATATATACTTATCTTATCCACTAATAAAGCCTGCATCTTTCAGGCAGAATAAACTTATATTTTAAGAATGTATTTTAATTGATGAATAGACTGGGAGGTGGGCTCAGGGTTAAGATTAGAATATTCTCATGCTATCCATCAAAATTATCATGCCATATAATTAAGGCAAAATAAATTTGTTCTATCTATAATATGGTAAATATTTTTTATTTAACCCTCTCGTGCTCAAGCACTTCCCTGTGATGAGTAAAATCATCTGCTGTTAGATAAAGTAAAATACTAAAGTGTCAGGCTGGGGACAAGAGGGTTAACCTACATATTCTGGGATTCATGTGGGATACCAAGGTTTTGACACCTGATATCTAAAATTGAAAAGTGAGATTTTCATTATACTACAATGCCTCCAAGCATGATTGATGGCTTACCGGACTAGTAACTTAGTACAACAAAAAGTTAAAATCTACCATGCCTACAATATTTTTTCTTTGGCAGTACAAAGTAAGATTGAATGGGTTAATGAATGTTTTCCCAAAAAGTAGCTTACATGTGTATGGGAGTAAGCTTAATGTATAACATTTCATTGACAACATTTCAATGCATAACAATTAAATTTCTACAAAATGTTTATAGGTATAAGAATGGCAAAGCTTTTGAAGGTGTATGGATGATTTGTCCTGCTCTTTTTTCTCAATTGAACAAGATAAATTACCAGGACGAAGCAATCACTCATACTGTCAATGCTATAGCCAAATGGCCACTCGCATATCGTCTAATGTACCGGAGGAACAGGACAGTTAGTTTAGACGGTAAAGATGGAAAACAATTGGCTGGAGATGAATGGGTAGAAGCAGTTTGCATCTGCCCAGAGCTCATTCTCCATGGTAGAACTGATGTCCTGTAGTGTTCATTTGTTGGAGCTGATCAGAAAATGTACAAATGTAAGGAAATTGCATCAATTGTACTATTAAATTGTACAGTAAATTGTACTATTTGTCCACTCTAATTACACCACTACTAAACTATTACTATTACACTATTACTAAACTTGTCGTTGCAGATTTGTCATTACTTTTATCACCAAGGTATTACATATTAGGTGTCATAACGAGAAACACTTAACCTGAGGGCCATCAGATCATGTGCTTTCGGTCCAAGAACTAGCTGAACATATAAACTTTTATCCTTCTTTTGACTATTTTCTGCCAGAATACCACTGTTAATTAGCGAAGTAGCACAGTACAATTGGCAACAATAACTTTGCACTCTCCTTTTACCCATTTAGAGTAGCTATTTGATTTCACTTCTTCAGATAATTTTCCATTATATTTAACACAGTCAATCCCATTTTTTAAAAGATCAGCATGAATCAACGAAACATCCTTTGGTAAAACACAGTATATTATTCCACTATCATCCTTTCTCTCCAAAATGAAGCTTTTCAAGTCATTGTCAAACATGCTTGTACGTTCTTGAACTTTCAAAAACAGATCCCCTCGAAAAATTGAAGATCTAAATACAACCAAACCATTGAAAACATGCTTAAGTTCATATTCAACTTTGGCAGGAACTGTTGCACTCAACAAAAGTTTAGGGCAGGGAGTCTTAGCTAACTCTTCACATACCTTCCTATATATTGGGTGAAAAGTGTTACCCCAGCTAATAATGGTATGTGCTTCATCAAACACAATCCTTTCTAATTCATTCTTCTCAATCATGGACATGACAGTACTGTTGAATTCTTCATCCTTGAGCATTTCAAGTGTTCCAAAAACAATCTTATATTGTTTAATATTCAACTGCTGGGTAGTTTGTACTTCCTTTGGAACATCTCCAGTAAATTTACCAGCTGGTATGCTGAGATTATGATATCTAGCAAGAATATCATCTATCAAGGATAATATGGGAGAAACTACCAAAGTTGTCTTTGCATAAATTACAGCAGGTAAAAGTGTTATCACCGCAAAGCCATGAATTTCATGAAGACAAAAAGCAAATTTCGTAGCAGCTTCAAAACTTGACATTGCTTTAACCACACACTCTATTTTGTAACCTTTTATTTTAAAATTCGATGCATTATTAGGCCACAATGGAGGAGCAGCAGAAAGTTTTTCCAGCGCTTGAAGTAAAATATTATCATTGCATTCTTCGCCATACTGAGTATGTGTGCTGAGTCAATGAGCAAATTTCTTTTTTTTAGCACTTAATTTCGCTGTTCTCTCCCTTACTTTGTAGATTTTTAGTATGCGCGAGTCATATGCGCAGAATTGACAGACCATGTCGATTTTTGGCAGGCAACTCTCCTTTCTTTCTCTTTCCGCTTCGTCCCCCTTCCAGCCTCAATCCCCTTATATTCAGTTACACTCGGCCAAAACATATATCCAATTACACTCAGCGAAAATATAAAATATTATGAACTCCATTTCTCAAAGGTTTGCTGTTTGGGATTACATAGGTTTCCTTACTTACAGTACTAAGGTAAAGGTAAAAGAATATGTGATTCCAATTACAAAGACCACTCTGTTGCTGAAAGCAAAAAAAACAAAAAGTGAGCTACCTCTGGCCAAACTAGTAGTGTTATTGGTAAATTAATCATAACTTATATAGAATATCCGCATACATACATACATACATACATACATACATACGTACATACATACATACATACATATATCTATGTATGTATATATAGTGTTGTCACAGGAAAGAATTATTGTATCTTTAGAGAGCGACGGCAAGAGTGCAATCGGACAAAAGTAGAGAGCATGTTGAAGTTGCAACCTTCATGCTAAACCACCACTTGCGAGGTACTGGAAGAGGTAGCAATATCGCTGGAAGAGGTGTTCACAACCAGAGAATTGAACGCCTTTGGTTGTATTAATGTATTTTATTATTTATTCTACAATATGCAACTTTGGATACAAGGCACAATGACCAACCGCAACAGGGCCATTGATGAACTATGGCGTCAGGTGAGTTTATTCTCTAACAAAATTTCGAAGGCAATTACAGTTGCAATGATGCAACATAGATACAATATATTATGTAGAACTAAGATTTCTTTTGTCAGAAAAAACAATTTCAAAGGGAAAATACAGCAGTACATAAAGCCAACGTTTGTACTCTATAAATTAAAACCTTAATATTGTGTTCATCTTGGACCTCATCACATTTCACCTAGAAAAAATAACACATTCAATTATAATAGTTCAAATTTCATTGGTATACAAACCCTCACATCCCACTCCTACTTCCTGGATGCAAAGCTGAAGAATATAAAAATGCACTCCAGTTAGCTTCTAGTAGTCTATAATTTGGGACTCATATTATAAAATAATTTTCATTAATACCACCATGATGCCAAATCACATTTTTTTTATGCAACTAGCATTCGTTGTACCTATACCGAGTATGCAAATTGCAAGCATTAAGAAAAATGCAATCATTAAAAGTTTATACTGGATTATAGCTGCCTGACTGCATAAAAAATATTTTAACCATAATTCTTAATGCTATTTAAGCATAGGTGATCTTTTCTCTTCAAATTTTATGCCAGTTTTCGTTATCTTAACCTGCATGTATGAATGCTCATAATGTGCAGTTTAGGAGTAACCTGTACAGATTCATTAATTCTTGATGATGGTCCACCTTGGCAGCTAGTTGTGTCTTGTTCCCACTTTAACATTACTACCTTCTCACCACAATTTATACATTCTACCTTTTGAACATTGGTTGTGTTTAGATCAGCATCACTCTATCCATAGTATACGATAGAAGAAGGGAGAATAATAAGAGTAAATTAGAAATGGATAATTGGCAAATACTATTTTGTATTAAAATTAGACACTCCCAAACCCCAACCATAGGTGGATTTGGATTTGAATGTAAAAATTCAACAAGACACACCTTAAGTTAAAGTTGGATTTAAATTCTACAAGTCATCAGCCAGGGAGTGAAAGAGTTGTACAAATTAATACGAGATAGTGCGGACAACTCACGGAGAACCAAACTTCATAGCTACCCTAATGCTGAGTGATAGGAGTTGTGGGTTGGGTCACAGTTTTTTAATGGGAGGGCGTACAACTCTTTCACTCCCTGGCTGATGACTTGTAGAATTCAAATCCAACTTCAACTTAAGGTAAGTCTCGTTGAATTTTTAAATTCTACTACCTCATCAGCCTACGGTTGTTATGGAGTTGTACGAATTAATATGATATTTCAAAGCTAGCACAGAGCAAAAATTCGTTTAAAGTAACGAGACACAAACGGTAAAAACATTCATCAATTATATAATTACAATGTAGTATATATGTCTCAAATTACTAGTTTACAGACTCCAGCAAAGCTGAGCCAAAATTAAATGCAGGTTTCTCTAACTGTTTATAGTAAAACGTTTGAAAAGTATGTTCATTAGACCAACCGACAGATTTCAATATTGAGGTGATGTCAATGTTATTGGCTACTAGATGGGAGGTTGATGCTGCTCTAGTACTATGTGGTTTAAACTTGTCAGTATCTACACCAGCACTGTTTACAAATTGCTTGCACCAGCGAGAAATTGTTTCCTTTGTTACTGCACCATGAGGTTTCTGAAGACTAATAAGTAGCTGTTTACATTCTGGTGTACAGAGCTGAGCTGTTCGTTTTAAATATTCATTCAGGTGTTTAACCACACAAAGCTTTCCTTCTCTAGCGTAGCTGTTAAAAATAATTGGCTGAAGATGTTTACCAGGTCTGCTCTGTTTTACATGTTTAGAAATATAAAATTTACATTGTGTTTCACTAAGTTTCATGTTCTCAATAGATAACATGTGAATAGTTTGACATCTTTGGCCACTTAACATTAACAATAAAAAAGTAAGTTGATGAGTAAGTTCCTTTAGAGTCGTACTTTTTAACTCTGGTTTCTTACGAATAAAATTGAATGCAGGGTTTATATTCCACATATCAGAATAACATGGTAAACTTGGTTTTAGCTCAAAGATACCCTTCATGAACCGTTTTACTAACGTTTGTTGCCCAAATGGGGATTCAGTTTGTAAGAGAGAGGATAAAGCACTTCTAGCAGTGTTAACAGAACTATAGGAATAACCCAAATCATATAGATTGGCAAGAAAATCTATTGCAGTTGGTATTGGGGCAGTAAGCAGGTTGCAAAACTTGTCTGCACACCATTTTGTCCACTTAGTAAGGTATGTCTGGTATTGAACTTTGGTACCCTTCTTCCATGAAGCCATAATTACATTTACTGCAGACGAGGATAGACTTATGGATTCCACCTGTGTCCGGACACAAGACATATTTTTAGTTCCAGTTTCTGATGAAGTGGGTAGATTTCCATTGGCCGGGCAGGTAGGACAAGTGTTTGTTTGGATGATGGCAGGAGAATAGGTTGTTTGACAAGGACTTGTTCTAGGAGGGGAAACCAAGGTTGTGTTGCCCAATTGGGGACAACCAATATACCTTCTGCCTTCTGCTGAATGATCTTCTGCAACACCTGTAAAATGCAGCTGAAAGGAGGAAAACAATAAATGTTTGTGCTGTTCCATGATATGGAAAATGCATCAATGTGCAATGCACCTGGGTCAGGTTTGTAGGAGCAGTATTTTGCAAATTGTTTATTTAACCTGGATGCAAAAAAGTCAATATCTGGTTTGAAACCTAGTTTGGACAATGCATCATGTAAAAGGGATGGCTGTAGCATCCATTATGCACCTGTATACACACAGCGGTATTCTGCATCAGCTATAACATTAAGGCTGCCTTGTACATGTGCCGCAGTTAACCAAATTGCATTGTTGATACAGAACTCCCAAATTGCAACAACAATGTCATTGCCAGCCTCTGTATGGTCGAGCCCATTTTATTAATCATATAAACAGCTGCACTGTTATCAATCATAACTTTAACATGTTTATGACTAAGTTCGGTCTTAAAAGATTCTAAGGCAAGTAACACAGCTTTTAATTCTAGGATATTAATATGGGATGCCGCCTCTGTACCTGACCAGTTCCCACCTGTCTTCTGAGAACCAAAGGCTGCACCCCAACCTTTCAATGAGGCATCCGAATATATAATTTCATCGATTTTAATAGCTTGTGTTATATGACCAAAACTTTTGTCATGGTGGTTGTACCACCATTCCATTTTGTGTGTACTCATAAATTTATCAAAATTACCCTTACTGACTTTTAGAGCATTTATCTTATCTCTATCAAGATTTCTATAGTAAAGTGCACCATGACGCACAGCTGACAGACTAGCCACCATGTGACCTATAATTTTTGCCATAGCCCGAATTTTGACCTTTTGTGGTGAAGCCAAAGCTTCCTTGATAAGATCTTTTAATTCTTCAATTTTTTCTTTCGTAAGAGTAATAGTTGTAATATATTCATATTAGTTTAATTAATTCATGACATGTGTACATAAATAAGTGTGTTTGAGCACACAGAGAGAATTTCGATTCAAATACAGAGAGAACACAACATGGTGTCAGGTGTGGGATAGGTCGGATATATGTTTGAAGATACAAATAAGCATGGCATCCAAAACAGTTGGAATCAGCAAGCTTGAATTTAAGAACGGTAATATTGCCAAAAATTGGAAGCGTTGGAAACAAACGATGATATTAATGCTTCAGGGCCCGTTGGCAGAAAAGGACGAAAAGCAACAATGCGGCTATTTCCTTTTGTATGTAGGACAACGTGGGAGATATCTACAACACATGGATATTATCGTCGACAGAGAGAGATAAAATCAAAGTCTTGTTCGAGAGATACGAAGCATATTGTAATCCGAAGCAAAACGTGAGTGTGATAAGATAAACGTGACTGTAAAACTATTGACCAGTATGTGACTGAGCTTTAACGGCTAGTGAAAGACTGTGCGTTCGGGGGAATTAACTGAAGAAATTATTCGCGATAGAATCGTTTGTGGCACAAACAACCCGCAAGTAAAAGAAAAACTTCTACAAGCCGAAGAGTTAGACTTAAATAGAGCCTTAACGATAGCTAGAGGAATTGAA